AGAAGTTCATAACTTTTGACTCGGTTGTCCGAATTAGGTAAAAAAAAAAATTGATTCCACATAACTTTTTCGAGATCTACGTAATGACATCTCATTCGGCATATTTTGTCTCTCGCAAAAAAATTTGAATTTACAACAATAATACTGTAAGAACATTTAAACCCAAATTAATAAAGAGAAAATCGATGTCAGTATTAGAAACATTCCTAGTAAAGATCCTTATGATTATGATTACGGTAAGTTATGATAAGGTTAGGTTAGTTGCAGATATGTTATCATTCCCATTAATTGCATGCAATGAATATGATTTATTTTATCAAAATTAATTATGTATGTTATTGAGGTATATAGTAAAAATTTGAATGAAGAATTTTATTAAATTTATAATTTTATCCGGTTAACGTCTGTCGGTGACAAAATATCGAATAATTTATATTAAAAAGTTAAGTGAGTGCTTTTCATTTTTATTTTGATTTTTAAGTTTTTGTTCATGATTATAAAAATGTTAGATTATTTTTAGTAATAATTATAAGGTAACAATTTTATAGTTATTTCCAAAAAGAAATTATTAACCTGAAAAAAAAAATGGAGCCTAAACAGTTTGACTTGTTCATATCAAAGTTGTAGTTTCCAAATCGAGATGGGTTATCTCGTCAATTCTCATATTCTTCCAAAAAAAAGAAGCTATGCCTTATACACATCAAATGTATACGATCCCCTACAATTGTAACCATCATGTACAAAGCTATATGCCTTATACACATGCATGTTTCTCGACAAGAAAATCAATTCGCTTATCTTTTTATCTGGTTGAGACAATAAGATTGTGTTAATGTAACATCTTGCATATACATGATAGGGATATTTTGACTCCTGTATAAAATTAAGAAGTCTTACTTTCTATTTCAGCTACTGATTTCCTTTTATATAATGGTTCTAGTTTATTTAGAATTAATTAAATAATTGATATAACTTAAAAAATTATAAATGTTAAATGGACAAAATTCATAAAGAATATAAAATTAATAAATAGTAAGGAAGCTTTATCAAAAAGAATTTTTTTTTAGAGAAATAAGAGAGAGGGAATAAAAGAGGGGAGTCTTGAAATTTTTTTAGGAAACTCTATTAAAAGAAAAGTAGATAAAGTAAAAAAGTTAAGAGTAACGGAACTTTGTTAACGAAGAAAGATAAAAGTGAATATTAAGGTGAGAATAATTTTTTTTCCTGTCTTTGTTTTAAAATATAAACGATATGGTAGTGTTATTTTTATTATTATTTTTCTTTTCTTTAGAAGAGATACCATGAATGTTTTGATAAAACTATTAAGGTGGGGATAAATTTTATTATTTTAAATAATGCAAAGTTATGTCATTTTTAATAAAACTATGTCGTTTTGATGTATTTTTAATATAATCATAAGGATCTTTACTATGAATGTTTCTAATCATAACAGTGGTTTTCTGTTTATTAATGGGTTTGTTTTTTCTGATGTTACTTTAGATAACTTTATCTAATATTCATCAAAACGACGTCGTTTTGGGACGGAAATCATGATATTTTTGTAATTTTAATTTATTTCAGGGTTATAATAGTCTTTTTCACTCTAATTTTTTAATTTTTCAACCTCAAAACGACGTCGTTTCGATGAACATTAGATAAAGTTATCTAAAGTAACATCGGAAACTTGTTTCCCTTTATTATTAATTTGGGTTTAAACATTCTTATGATATCATTGTTGTAAATTCAAATTTTTTTGTGAGATGCAAAATTTGCCAAATAATGTGTCATTAAGTAGATCTCTAAAAGTTATGTGTAATAAAAAAATTACCTAATTCGGACACTCGAGTCAAAAGTTATGGACTTTCAAAGTTTTACAGTTAAACTGTTGACTTTTGTGCCACGTGGCAGCACCTGGTGAAACACGCCCCACAGGGGAGTGCCTCTCTCCAACCGATCACGCCCCTGTGGAGCGTGTTTGACTGCTATACCTATGTAAATAGTTTTAAAACGACTATATTTGCGTAATTATTTATTAAAGAAATAATATTTAATTTTTTTTGCCCCATCGTAACACAATGATTTTACTATTTTTGGGTATCACAATCTCAATGCCTGAGTTCATCCACAAAGCACTATTCACCCTATCATAATCTATATTGAGTTCAAGACGATGTCGTTTTGGAACTGAAATCAATGTATTTTTATCATTAAATTTATTTCAGGGTTATAATAGTCTTTCTCATGATAATTTTTTAATCTTTTAACCCAAAACAACGTCAATTTTGAGAGTGAATGTAGATAACTTGTCTACATTCACTCTAGAAACATTAAAATCATATTTTATATTATTTCACATGACCTATGATGTTTTAGGTTGAATAATTAAATTTGTTGATATATATTTATCTTTCCTTATATTCTCATAACAAGTATTTTTATTCTAATTTACTCTTGTGTTTTGATTTATTAAGTAATTCATGTTTAATTTTTTACCACTGAAATTATATTAGGCCTTTATAGACCAATAACTTAGTCTCCATAAAGCTAATAAGTCAAACTCAAAATCTTAGTCTCCATCAAGCTAATAAGTCAAACTCAAAATATTCTACATAAATCTTGCTCATTTAAGTTTAAATTCAATTTAGCCCCACCTATTCATATCTCTTAAAATAAGACTTAACAATCTATAACCATCAATAATTGAGTTATCTAGGAATCCATTTATGGATATTAATCTGAATTTATTTAGAAATGATTAAATTTCAATTTAGTAGAAAGCTTTTATATTTACATTAGATTAGTATTCATTATTATATAAATATAAATAACTAGCACTTTAACTCGTGGATGCACATTAGGTTATGATGGAATGATTTCTATTACACAACTAGGGTTTGCAGTACCAACACAAACTACACATGCGCCAGCATAAGTATCTACATGCTTTCTGTGACTCCATATTTGTTTCAAAACTCAATAATTTTATTACTTTGTTAATTTATTGACATTTTTAAATGGATTTTATATTCGGTACTTACTTATGAAGAAATCAAGGATAAGAAGCAAAAACATTAAATAAGGTAAATATTTAATATATTTAAAAACAGAAAATTTGGAGCTTTAACTGTTATCGAGTCCCAATTTGAAATTAATTCTAAAAACAGTTCAAAAAATTAAAATTTATGAAAATACCTATACTAACTAACTCAAATACGTAATTATGGTAGATGTAAAAAAAAGAAAAATAATTTTTTTTTGTTATAAGAAAAAAATATCTTATGTGATAGAAACAAAATTACAAGTGCAACTTATAGGTAAGAGGAGAAAAAAAATAAATATGAGAGTCACTCCTTTTTTGTGTGTTCAGAAAATTAATTTCTCTTATATAACATAATATGCATATAACCAAAAAAAGAAACTTTACTTTTCAATTTTTTATATTTAATATACTTTTTTTTATTACTTTTTTAACGAATCTTTTTTGAGTTTGCGGTACCAAGTACCAACGCACACGTGGTGTCGGCATCAGTATTTATATGCTTTTTATCGAATACTCCATAATTTTATTGCTTTATTAATTTATTCACTTCTATACGAGGAGTTCATTTTAGCTGCACCGAAAGTACCAACTCCTTCGTCTAAAAAAATAAAAGGATTTTATTAACCTCATGTTAAAGAAGATAAATTATTTTTTGGGCTCCACAATTTGAAAAAATAAGAAAAAAAAATGACACAGTTATCAAAAGATGTGTAAGAAATAAAATTATCAAATATAACATAAAAGTAATTTTTTCCAAAGTAAAATATGAGATACGGGTAAAAGTAATCATAAAGGTGATAGTAGTATAAATTTCTTACGTACTGAATTTTTCGGTTCAACAAGAGTACAAAAAATATTTTACTATATAAGAATTTTATATCCAGTACTTATTACTGTTTTTGTGGTGGTTCAGTTCTTATTTGTTTAGAAATTAAATATAACAAGTAAAATATTAAATAAATGAAAACATAAAAAAATTATATTTTAATCTTTTTATTTAACATTTTTCAATTTCTAAAAAATAAGTAACATTTTTTAAAGAGAAAAATATTTTTATTTTTGTTGCAGAAATCTTTTTTCTACTACACTCATATAAAAGTGAGTGAGACACATTGTAAGAAAAAGAGAGAGAAAATATTAGGAGACTCGTTCACTTTTATATGAGTGTGACAAGTAAAATGTAAAAGTTTTAGTTTGATTCCCATATGTCAATTTTGAGAGGAGATTAAATATTTTCATTCTAACTCACCTTGCACTCGAGATTAATCCCATATCTGACTTGCAAGAACTGAAATTTGTGAGAATATAAGGGAGTGCCTTATTATTTAAGAAATCAAAGATTAGAAGTAAAAAAATAATTAAATAAGGAAATATATTTATTATATGTTAAAATAAATGATAAAATTTACTTTTTTCCATTCTTATTTTTTAATAAGAACACATTTGCATAAGCTTTCGAGAAAGAGATTTTTTTTAAATTTTTTTTAAAAAAATTAATACTATTTTCTATTTGGATAAGTATAGAAAACACATTTTTAAGTAAAATCTTATTAAAATCTTAAAATTAAAAAAATAAGAAAATATTGATAAAAGCAAAACTTATTTCGATGATATCTACGTTTGGAGAGAAATGAGGATTAGTCTTTAATTGTGGGATTTTTATAAATAAGGAATTTTCCTTAAAAAGTATATAGTATTTTTTTAATTTTAAATATAATAAAAAGTGTTTTTATTTTAAAAAAAATAATTTCTTGATAAAAAAAAAAAATGGTCCGAACAGCTCTAGAATTCCTTTATAAAATCCTCTTCTTCTTTTTTGAACAAATTATAAAATCCTCTTTTGTAGATGTTTCCAACTTCTATGTTTAAAAGGAAAAAAATAAAATAAAATAAAAATTATTTGTTACATAAGTAGGGTAAGTGGCGGAACTAGCAACACCCACATGTCAGTATATAAATCGGGTTTGTGGTGATCGTTAGTTACAACTTACAACACAACACTCATACATCAGAGTCATCATCATCAGTATCTTCATCAATTCTTGTTCATCATCATCAACGCGAAAATGGCTCCGATTAAAGTGGGAGATGTGATTCCAGACGGCACCTTGGCTTATTTGGATGATGAAAACAAACCCCAAACTGTCTCCATTCACTCTCTCGCCGCCGGCAAGAAAGTCATCATCTTTGGTGTTCCCGGTGCTTTCACTCCTACTTGCAGGTCACACCCCCTCTTATTTCCCTTTTATCATTTTTACTTTCAACTTACAAATATCAACACAACAATGTAAAAAAAGCTGAAATAGCTTCATGGGCATCTGAGATTCACTTTTTTTCCCATCAAAGTTTCAATTTTTTTTAATGTTTTCTTGAGAAATATGAGATATCGGTACTGTGATTCAAGTGACTTATGAAGTGGGGTACTCAAAGTTCTTTTCTTTTTATACCCCAGTTGGTTTCCCTGATTTTTTTTTTTTATGTAAAATCCCCTTGAGTAAAATTTGGAGATCTTAACAAAAGCAAGAAATTTTTGTTTATTTTACTAAAGAGAATTTTTTTTGAAAGAATTCCTGGAGTGATATGATGAATTGAAGTGGAGGAAAATCTACAAATTTTCTTGTTATGTGACTTTTTACAACGTTTTTACTGTTTGAAGAGTTGTTCTACTTCTAACTTGAGGTCTAAATCGGTATATTTGGAACAGCTTGAAGCATGTGCCTGGCTTCATCGAGAGAGCAGAAGAGCTGAAAGCTAAGGGTGTACATGAACTGATCTGTATCAGCGGTGAGGGTCCAATGATATCCTAATTTTCCCTTCCGTAATTGTTTTATTACATGTTGTATTATTAATTGACAAAATTTATGTGTGCGTGAATTTAGTTGCTAATTTTCACCATTTTCTTGTGCTATTCAAGAATGAGGAATATTCGAATGTACTAACAAAATATGAGCAACTCTTTCTTGAATAAGAATGTGAAGTGGCTACATTGATGTGTTAATTTGAGTAGGGATGATCTAGAGTTCAATCAATGGATGCCACTGGGGCATCTATCTTAGATGCTTAGTCATGTTTACTGTATTGGCTTAGATTTGAAAAATCCTCCTCAATTCTTATTGTTGCGTAGTTTAACTTAAACTTAGACGGTACTTGACCTGAAATTCACCAACATATTCACACTTTTTAGCACTATGACACCTCCGAGGGTCCAACACCTTTGGATTTAGAGGTTTGTTTCTAGACATGGATTTCACATAACTTGTTGCTTGATTTTTAATATATTTGCTGATTATTGATTTTTGATTTGTTTGTAACATGGGTAGAAAATGAAAAGCTTTCATCCAAATGGTTTGAATTTTTGTAATTGTTTTATTTTCAACCAAGATGGAACGCATCTTAGTTTTTAATTTTTTTCTTCCTTGTCTTGCTATATGTCAATATGGATTGAGTTGTAACAATATTTTGTTATAGGGACTATGTGTTATGTGGTGAGTAAAATGTGTTGGAAATACTCAATCTATGATCTACAGAACAAAGTAACCATGATGCTAGTAATCATAGACTTGAAGATATCTCATTTGATAAATGGCTAATTTGTGATTGCCTTTGATTTTGTAGTCAATGATCCCTTTGTGATGAATTCATGGGCCAAAACATTCCCAGAGAACAAGCACGTGAAGTTCCTTGCGGATGGTTCAGCCCAATACACACATGCTCTTGGGCTGGAGCTTGACCTCACAGAGAAAGGGCTTGGCACTCGCTCTAAGAGGTTTGCTCTATTGGTGGAAGACCTCAAGGTGAAGGTTGCAAATGTTGAAAATGGAGGAGAATTCACCGTCTCTGGTGCTGACGAAATCATCAAGGCTCTTTGAACCTTTTCACCCTTTGTCTTAGGGCCCTTGGCTCTTTTATTGTGTCTGGTGTGTGTGACTTTTTTGATGCCAGAACATAGTGGAAACATTTTGCTTTAAATATATGTAATGGTGCTGTGTGTTCAAGTAACTAGTAAGGGACATGATATTATGAAAATAAAATTGCTTGTTTCTAGTGTGTCACGTATGGTTGTTATTTGTTTGGGAAAAATGTTTCTCCTTTTAATGGATTGTTTTTCACTTTCTCGTATTATGTAATGTAACTCTTTCGTTCATCATAAAGCATTATAGTTTTGATTAAAATAAACTAATTTTATGTCTTTTAAAAGTATAAACATTTTTTTATTTGTTTTGTTATTATTTAGAATCAGATCAATTTTTCATTCCTATACAACTTGAAAATGCTCGGTCAATGTTGGGCCTGTTTTTGTGTGTAATGGAGCTGTGTTTTCTAGGGAGGGACATGATATGCTGCAAAATATGAAAAAATAAAATAAAAAATTGCTTGTTTCTAGTGATCCACGTATGATTTTTAAATCGACGTCGATGTTGGTGTGGCAGTAGAAATATTTTCTCATTTTAGATTCAGATCAATTTTTCTTTCGTTAAAAAAACAAAAAATGACAGGCCAATATTGGGCTGGGCCTTTTTTGTATCTGCTTGACATTAAATTTGTATTAAAAGCGTAACATAGCCCAAGAAAAATGGAAACTAGACACGTAAATTTGGTATTGAAAAACTAATGAATTATTAAGCCTGTGAACTCATGCTACTTTTTTATGTGATAAGTTCATATAAACAGTAGTGTGAATTATTAAGCATGTGAACTCATTCTGCTTTCTTACGTGATAAGTTCACAAAAATATATTTTTTGATATGGGAAAAATATTTCTGTAGTTGTTGTAAAAGAATTTATCTGTCACACACTATGTATTTCAAGAAGTATATATGTAACTTTTGAAATGAATTCTATTTTTGTTTAGATTTCAAAAATTATACTATGTGTTCATAGTGTGTGGCTGATAACTTTTATGCACTTTTGATATTTGGTTCCAAATTGAGTTTAATAATGCCTTACATGTATTTGGAATACTGTAACTATGCACCTGGCCTTTATCTGCCCCAACTTTTACTGAAATGTCCGTGGCAATGTTCAACAAAAGTTGGACATTTTAACCTTAAAGGCCCAAAAAATGGGCAGAAAAGTGCGCATGCACGTTAATTGTGACAATCTACGAGCATAATTTCGAAACTTGTCATTAATCATCTAATTTTTTTCCCCTGTTAATCCAATTAGGCTTGCATTCTTTGAATAGGCATAAAGATCTTACCTTATTATTTAATTAAAAAATTTCTTCGACTTGAGATCTTACATTATTGTTTACATAATCATAGGAGAGAATTTATAGTGGACCGGAACCACCATTTTTTAGGTGGTCTCTTAATGTAAATAAAAAGGTAAAATTAAAAAAGAAAAAAAATAACAAAAATATAAAAGAAAAGAAAAAATTAGTATTGTGAGAAAGAGCACTAAATTATTTAATGGTCCAACGTAATAAATATTTACTGATCATAGAATGTGGTTGTGCTTAGACTTTCAACAAGTAATCTGATGATGGTGACAGCAGGATACTCCTCGTGCTCCAGTGGGGAAAGTTTTATGTGCAACAAGACCTGCCCCTCCAAGTAAAGTATCGTCAAATAAAATAGAGTTGAGAGTTTCAAGACGCTGTTAACATACCAATTAATGTGAGTCTCTCTAAACATTAATAATGTAATTAACTTTATTTTGATTTCACTAGTCAAGATAGCAATAAATACATTAATTAAAGTGACACATAAAATTTATATGAAAAATCTAATTGAAAAAAATCACAGGCAGGATAAAGGAGATTTTCATTATGTGTAGAATATTATCTCTCTTTAAAATAAAAAGAGCGAACAATATTATTATTATTTATATTAAGAAAATATATCTCACTCAAAAGACACTTGATATTTTTTTCTTTTAAGAGGGTACGCTAAGAAACTCTCTTAAATAAGAAAATTTTGGGATTTTGGGGATGATTTAAACACATTAGCTAGCACCTTATTTATAGGCATAGGTGCTGCTATGCATCTCATTTTTTTTTCTTGCTTTCGCTAATAGTTATAGTCTATGTTGCACTGAACAAGAGATACAACATGATACGATACTCTGGCACGTTAATTTAAAAAATGTCAAATTTTGACACGTTAGGATACATTTTGATATCATATAATATTTTTAATTTATGTAGTATATATTACATTTAATATTCAATAATTTAACAAAAAAATAAAGATAAACTTGTAATCCCATCAATTTTGCAAAGAAACATAAGATATCCTAAATGTTTATATTAAACTCAATAAAATAGTAATCGTGATTCAACAAATTTAATAGTTGAAACTTAAAATGCAACACAATGTAACCTTTGAAGCTTTTTTGAGTCTTTACAACGAGTATTGAAGTGTCGGTGACTTGTCTAAAAGTGTTAGACACGACACGTCAAAAATTTTAAAATGTCGATGTTTCGTAAGTTATAGTACAGCGATACCGTCTACCGTCCAAGCACCGTCCAAAGGGACTTTATCAAGTCACTATTTCGTCAGTGTAAAGCAAGATACTCCAATCTTTTAATGAGTATCAGCCACAGTCACAAGGCAGAAGGTAGAATATTTACCTCAATGTATATATTGTTTTTCTCTGAGAAATGTTAATTTTATTATCTATTATTTAAATAAGGGTGAAAATACTCTTATTTGTGGTAGCTGTCAAGAGTCTCCAAAGGAGTTCATTGGGCACGTTCAGTGTATAATATAAGATAAGATCTGATATTATAAGATCTGATTAAATTTTAATATTATTTTGCGATTGGTATGATATTGTATAAGATAATATCCTCTAATATTTTAAAAATTAATATATTAAAAAAATTTATTTTAATATATTAACATTGAAATGATATATTATTTGTTGAGAATTGTGCTTGTAAATAATATTAATACATCAATTCCTTATCAGACCTAATCTCACTCGCTTAGGCTTGATTAAGTTATACATCATTTTGATGTATTAAGGGGTTCTGCTATATAAGCTTATACTATACAATGGTCACACCAAACAACTGAAAATATCATAATATATAATATAAACTTATACTATCAAACTTTCTACATCACATCAAACAAGTCTAAGATTTTTTCTTGGTTGTTGGGCCCAATATTTAACGGACATAAGCTGAATAATATATTAAGAATACCAACCTATAGGAAATAGGTACATTTTTACATGATTAACAATTGATTAATTCTGTGTCTCATTATCTCACTCACTGCATATGTGCTTAAGGTGGATATTGCCTCAAACGAGAGAAACAAGAGTGCTAAATTGCAAATGCACGTTTTTTTTTCAAGATAATGCACGTATGATCGAAGCAAAACAAAAACTTCCTCGGTCAAACCGCATTTGAAAGCGTCGCAACTCGCAAACACTAAAATAACCATTGTTCGAGAAAAGAAAAAAGGTATTAATGTTGCAATGCTTGTATCCAAAAAAAAAATGTTGCAATGCAAACTTATACTATAAACAATAATTTATAGGTATTATTTCCTAGTTAAAAAAATTCGTAAGGACCTAATTTGACCATGATTCTTGGAATTGGTGCTTGCGTGCATAGCAAGCTGGTTTCGAATAGTATTGTTTAATTGGTGATAACATTACTAACAACTATTTAGGGTTTATTTGATTTATATTTTAATAAATCACTTTTTAAAAAATAATTTACAAAAGTTAATATAAAATATTAAAAATTATTTTTTATAAATATAAATATAAAAATATAAATACGAATCTCACACTTAAATATAATTTTACTCAAATTTAATTTCTTTTTATAGATTTAAACAGAGAACCAAAAATAAAAATAAAAATAAAAATCATCAAGTTATACTCATCAATGTGATTGATTCAGGATATACCTAACCCTCAGGAACTTAGGTTGCTTTTAATTTCACAGACACATGCAGAGTACAGATTGTGACAAAACAAGAGCTTCAACGGTTGAATACATTTGAATCTGTTGGGATGTGTGAGCTTTTCATCCTGACTGGGAAACCATGGTGGGGTTTTTGACACGTGGGTCCATCCTTTCCAATGTTATATTATACACATTCATCTACAAAGACAACAATAAACATTTTTCTATCCTTGTTTGTTTAATTAACCCTCTTGTGAATAATGTCCTCTTCCCATTGTTTTTTCTAAAGCAAAAATGGTAGAAAATTATATTTTCTAATAATTATTGTGGATCACATATTATATTAATAATTATATTATACTATTTATATATATTGGGTAAATTAAAGTGATCAGATAAATATTCTCAAATAGATTCTTAAGTGAGTATGGGCTGAATGAGTGGAAACCGGTGTTGGACCAACTAGGTATAATGGGAGCTTATTGGCCCAACAATAAAGATAAAAACACTATAAAGGGTTATGGTCCTCAATACGTCAGATAACAACCCTAGTTTCTCTTCTCCATCAAGAGAGAGACGACACACTAAGGAATTTGATTTTAGGGTGATTTGACTGAGGAAGACTACAAATCCCAAAAGACAAGATCAAAGTTATTCCGCTGCAATAGAGACAGGTATGCCTCCACCTTTATATTGTTCTTATTTTTCTTTATGATTTGGTATGATGGATCTTGACTTGTAGATGATAGTTATCACCATAAGATTTAGAGAAATTAAAAATTCCAACAAAAAAAATAGTTTTAAGGGAAACAAATTTTTTAAATTTTTAAAAAGCGTGCTATATTGCTTTTGGGTGACTTTAGTGACCCTTAATATAAGTATTGACATGTGTTTGTTTTGTTCTAAAAAGTGTGATTCTTCTTCCACAAGTAACAATAAGTCAAGGAGTGAGATTGTCAAGAAAACCGTACAAAGTTTATTCTCAAATTTTTACATTAATTATATTCTGAGGTTAATTTTAATTTACTGTTGTTATTATTATTATTATTAAATCATATATTGATATATAAATATACAGCTACAAAAACTAATTTAAATTTACAGTTACTGTATGGTGGAACAGGTAATGTGCACTTATGACTTATCAGTAATTAGTGACTCATAGTTGGAAACCAACAAGTGAAGATGTTAGCTATGCCTGAAGAATAGGTACCGTTTGAGAGAGGGTC